TTAAAGACAAAATCGTTAAGAAAAAGTAGGGCAGAAAGTTGGCATCTCCTGTTGCCCTTGCTGAAGCCATGGTCAACCCCACTGCATCCCTTGGCACCAAGGCTATGGTACACCCTTGAGACAAGTCTTCTTAAAGCTGTTTGTGGACAAAGTTCCAAAGACAGCAGAAAACTCTGGTGTTCTGAGCATTGGAGAGAAATGATTTGGATATAAGGGTTCTCCTTTCACAGAATTGTTCCTGGACTTATGTGCTAGGGTTCAACTTCAGCCGCCATTATGGCATCGGCAGCAGGTCCGTCCATCTACGGGAGAAAACTGAGGATGGAAACATCCTGAAACATCATCCATGCTCTGGACTCTTGTCCAAGGCAAACGCTGCAGCAAACACAAATGGTCCCCTGCTGTTCATCTGTGCTGTCAAGGCTGAGTGGACGAAAACATGCAATCTTTTGGTGAAAGAAGGCATGAGCATCGTGGAAGCCATGGAGCGTTTGGGGTCTAGAAATGGCAAGACCCGGAAGAAGGTCACCATAGCCGGCAGGGGAGAACTCTAATGGTTTTGACTTGTAGGCCCTGCCATTCTCTCTGTAGGTCTGGACAGCACCCCCGCCTCATCTGCTAACAATACCTATAATCTATGCTCTCACTGAAGTTCTTTGAGTTCCATATTTACCTCCATATCAAGTCTAGCTGGATTGCAGAGTTAAGCTTGTGATTATAAATTTAAAGCTAAATAAGAAAAAAGAATAATTAGGACACTGGAAATTATCTACTTTGAAGTAGTTAACAAAATGAAAAATTGTTGTTTCTATGTATTGTTGACTCATAAGGAAAGCCATTTTGAATCTCCAAGGGGACTTATTTTCTTTCACTCAGAAGTCAGTCCATACTATTTTAAAACATAAAGCAACACGAAAGCCTGCTTTGCCGCTCACTTCCTACAGGGGTTCAAGAGTGGACGGTGTGTGCTCATATTAACCCTCGAGGTCACAGTGCACTGAAATAGCTGCTAATATTGCATCAGAAAGGAGGGCCGTGCTTGCTACATCCTTCCTACTGGAGGGACCACTCTAGGTGTGATAAAGGTCTATCACTCAGACCAATCTACTGTGAGAGATGCCTGTGGGCCGCAGGTCAAAGCAAACAAGAGCCAGTGTGGGTTGGTGTTGACGTCAGTCACACCGTTGGCATGACCAGCAGGAGGGCTTCTCTGTTTGTCCAGACAAACTTTGCTGTAAACCCAGTCAACGCCAAATTTACATTGGGCCACCCTCAGCTCCTCCGCTATCATGACCTCTCACCCCCAGTGTTCAACCTGCAGTGACCTTGCTTGAAATCAGAAGAAGCCAAGCCCTGCGGTCTTTGTGCAGGTTCTAGAGCAAGCCCGTGAGATGAAGCGCGCCATTCGGGCGAGCATGAAACACTCATGGAACCTCCTTGGGCCTCGGCTCCCTAATCTGTAAGTTGAGGGAGTGTGATAATACTCATTTCAGGAGAGGGAGCAAGGGCTAAACGGGTGTACATAGGACTGTAGAAACGGCGGGGGTACCGGAAGTACAAGCTGCCATTTTTACCGTCCAAAGCAGGCCAGGAGCTTTACCCAATCACAGCCACTTCCCAAGCCCTCTCCTCCGCCTTCACATACCCAGCAGTTTATACTTCCCAATCTCCACGGACTTGTCTGTTTGTGACATTTCATATAAATGAAATCATATAACATGTAGTTTGTTTTGGTTTAGGTTTTGGTTTTAAGACAACAGGTCTAGTTTTAGGAAAAGATACTAAAGAAATTTGTTCATGCAAATATGTTACACCAGATTATGTTGTGCAATTGAAACCCTGGGGCACCTAAGAATAATTTTCTATGAAAATATGTTTTATAGATATTTGCATGATCAATTATGGGACTAAATAATTTTATTCAGAAGAGTGTAATAAAAAGAACAATGGATCTTGGATGCAAAACACCTAGTGTAAATTGTAACTCATGCATTCAATATCCTTGTACCTTAATGCCCAGGTTTCTTCTTTCTCTACTTCCATTGTAAAATAACCACAACCTCCAAGTCCCTTTTAGCTCTAAGAATCAACTGACGTCTAGTTTCACCCTTGGGCTGATGTGATTCTTACACAGCCTTGAAGTCTTGCAGCTGGTCTCCCAGAGTCAGGATGGATTCCAAGGAGCAGAAGACAAATGAGGATGCCTGTGCCTCTGGTTTGGGAATTAAAGACATTTTCCAGAAAGGCACCGCTCTCTCGTCGACCACAAATACGATTAAAATGGAAAGTATTTTTTGAATGTGGCAATGAATGAAAGAATAACGTTGTGCTTATCACCCTTGCTTCTTAGTTATCACAGAGCAGGGTGTCCTGACGCCTCTCTAGGTAAACCAGATTCTCCTGAAGCTGGTAAGATCTGAGCTGGCCAGTCTTCAAGCAGCCCAGGGGAGTAGCAGACAGTTCCTGTTTATTGCCAGTACCTGAGTGAGAGACCACTAATTAGGGAACATGGAACCAACCTTGGGTCATTTTTGTGGGTTACATGCTGGCCCTGGAGAAGGTTGCCTTGTTACTGGAACAGATTCAGCTTTTTTTTTTTTTTTTTTTTTTTTTTTTTTTTTTTTTTTTTTTTTTTGCCAGCAGTAAAGATGCCCACTGCCCTGTGGCTTCTCTGATTACAGGCTCACTCAGGTCCCCTGGGATTTCTTTCTTCTAGGTCAGTCCTCTTTATCAGAGGACTTAATGGTGATCTCTGGATACTCATTCCTTTATAGGTTACCAATTACAGTGGGGTCACATTACACTCTGGCCCCATCTGAAAGGGCTATTGAGATTCTCTCTGCATACTGTACCCACTCATAAGGCTGGACATGGCCCTGTTTTATAACTATATAGAAACTGGGCTGTAATACACAAGGAAAACTCAAGAATGGGCCTGTCAATTGCACACTTTACATGCCAAGATATTTAAATTGCCTTTTGCAATTCAACACAGATTGTATTTCTAATTTACAAATGATGACCCCATGCCAATAGAACTGGTGAAATAAAACCAAACTCTAACCCACTTGGGTTCCCTTTCTAGCCTTGGGATTTTTTTTCCCTTAAATTAGAGTTTGTTTCCCAATCTATTTGAACAAAGTGAGAGATATCAGCTTTCACTGTAGCCAAAACATTTTACAGGAGCTGATGAAAAAAAAATCACCATGAGGTAGATAAGAGGGTACACATGGTATCACCACAGGGTCAAGCGAAGGTGAAGTTAAACAAACATTTCTCCGTAGTCTAGGTTGAGCGCCCCATCCTTCTGCTTACAGGATGCATAATTCTCAGAAATCAACCTTCTTGCTTGGGTTCCTGTTTCTATCTCCACACCGACTAAGTACCAGCTCTAAGATTAACTGCTGCAGGAAGGGTAGAGCTCAAACATCCTCACTGCCTCACTGCCAGGACAGGGTTTGTGGGTGTGTTGCATGCTTCACACTGAAGCAGGTTTGTGGTACTTTTACAAAAACTGGTCTCTGCTTCCCAAAGAACCAGAGAAACCATTTTTTTCTAAGCGTTGCAATAGTCAATAGGGCCAAGGTAAAGCAAGGATTCAGAAACTGACATCACTGCCTGCCTCCGAGTGACTTTAATCTCCTTGTTAGGGCACCGGTCGAGGACGAGGGTGTCTCTTTATGTTCCCTGCAAACATGGGAGTGATCCGATGTTGTCATTTGACTGCTTTCGAGAAACACGGCATCTATAGCTTGGATCTAGGCTAGATGCCTGCATGCCTGACTTCCTGCTGAGATCTACAGCAAAGAATGCAACAACAAGTGGACAGGAAACCAGACACCTTGCAGAAACTCAGTCTTGGTAGATCTACTTCGATACAAGCTTCCCAACCTTGGACTACTGCCATTGGGAACCAGATAATTCTCCCTTGAGTAGAATTTCCCTGCCCATTGGAGGCTGCTAAGCCCATCTCTCCTTCCTCTTCCTAGATGCCAGCAGCAATCCTCCTAACATTAAAAATGTCCCCAGACATTCTTTTTTGACAATCATTGCAGGAGTAAGGCACCTGAGTCACTCAGAGGATCTGAAATGGGTTTCTAGTTATTTAAAAAAAATCCCATTTTAGGGCTGGTGAGATGGCTCAGTGGCAGGATGCTTGTCATGCAACCATGAAACCCCAGTTCAATTCTCATAGTGGAGGCAGAGAACTGACTCCTGAAATTTGTCTTCTGACCTCCACACACAAACCAGGACCACATCTCACACTCAAAGTCACATACAGGCCACACACACACACACAACAGTAATACGTAAAATGTTTAAATCATATTTTATGATTTCTGTTTGTTTTTTTCTGTTTTTCAAGACAGGGTTTCTCTGTGTAATAGTCCTAGCTGTCCTGGAACTCACTCTTGCAGACCAGGCTGCCCTCGAACTCACAGAGATCCGCCTGCTTCTGCCTTCCAAGTGCTGGGATTAAAGGCATGCACCACTGCTGCCTGGCTACATTTTATAATTTCTTTAGATCGAAGGCCAGGGTGGTTTGAGTAGACTGCTCAAGGCTCCTTTCCCAGTCTATAAAGCACCAGTCTGGTTTTGCAAGTTCCTGACTTATCTGAAAGGAGGGGCGTTTTCTAGTTCAATAATCAGCAAAATCCTGTCTGAGTGGTAAACTAAGTAATGACCCTGGTTCGAGTAATATTTGGATTCTTCTAGAACATATCGCTGATTGATAGTGAAAAGAAAATCCATTTCTCAACAATTTCGTGCTAATGTCATCAAAGTGATGACTGATTTGGGCCATTCAACTCTCTCTGTCACTGACGAAAAGGACGCCTGTGTTCCATAATGTGCCATAAGGGAACAGTAGATGAGATTCTGTGTCTGAGCTGTTGGACAAGTCAAAGGGCTCCTTTTCACGTCTCTCTCCTTCTCGCCCCGCCCACCCAGCACACAGGCATGCGCATACCTTTGCGGCCTTTATTAATCTAGATATTTACCTTCTCTGAGCTGTCAACTTGACTTGTGATTTCGTTGGTTCATTTGTCTGTTTTGGAGACTGTTTGTGTGTATTTTCTTTGGGACAAGGACTCTGAGTGGAGCTTAGGCTGATCTCAAATGCAGGACGGCGTAGCCCTCCTCAGTTTGCGGGCGCTGCCATGGCTGCCTAAAGGAGTCAGGAATGTCTTCAAACCCGCTCTTCAGACAGAAGCGAAGCTTGTGAGACAGTGTACGTCTCTTCTCCCAGGGGTATTCTTGGAGCAGAATCTAAAACCACCAACAGAAAGGGGCATTTAACATTTAAACACACACTTATTAAAGACAGCAGAATACATTTTAGTATGAGCATTTTAAGGTCAAAGGACTATCTTTGTATGTAGTACACTCTCAAATACCTTCAAGGGAGAAGGGAAACAGTTCTCAAAAGCACACACATCCTAACATTATACATACATATATATATATATATATATATATATATATATATATATATATATGTGTGTGTGTGTGTGTGTGTGTGTGTGTGTGTGTGTATACATATATATACACACACAACTCATCTAGGCCTTTCAAAAGCAAAAAGTCCTGTCATTAAAACTTAGCTCATCCACACCTGCCAACCCCTTAGTGCAGTTTGAAGTCTCCGAGCAAATCTCAGTCTCTGTTGTAAGGAGACTTGTTCCTTAATTTTAAACCTTACAAAAACTTTCTCAACAATCCATAATCCAGCTTGTCTGTGGAGTTTCGGTAGCCCCAACACTGCTGTCCTTTACCAGTCAAGTTAGTCCTCCTCCCTGGGCACCTTACACCTCTGCGGACACTGTTCGGGTGAAGAAGGAGTCTTCTTTTTAACTATGTCATTTTGTTTTCTGACTTGGTTTCAAAGGTCTCCTGAGTTTTTCTGTCTGTAAAGTCCTGTCCCTAACCAAGAAATCCCAGAATCTACACATGGAGCTGAACTTGATCGTATTCTTGACTCTGGATTGAGAAAGTTGGCCCCAGATGACAACTTTCTCAAACACATGACATCTCCCCCTCTATGCTCGAGTTTCTGTACATAGGACTTATGAGGACAATTTATATAATACATGAAACAGAACTGCAAGTTTTTTTTCTTTTACAAAATGTTCATTATGAACCTAATATAAACAGATCCTTTGTAGAAATAACAGCTGATTTATTTGATAGCGTGTCATGCTTAAATTTATGTATCAAACCCAATATGCTACAGGGTGTCCAAATATTTGGCCAGACCATATTCTGGATGTTTAAGGATGAAATTAATATCGAACCCAGTATGCTAAGCAGACAGACCTCCACAATGTATGTGTTCTACACTGTTAGAATCTGAACCGGAGTCAAAGGCTGGTGTTGCCTCAGGAATCAGCGTTTGGGTTAGAATGTCTGCTCTTCGGTTGCGTGGTGGCCTGACAACCTTTGGACTTGAAGTGGGATGCCTGCCAATCTTCACAGTGACAGGATAAGCCAACCCGTTATAAAAACTCTCCCTTTCTCCTGCAAACATGGATGGTATAGATTTAATATGCATGTATTAATAATGGCTACAAAGTCATTTCTAAGCACATTAAGCCCAGCAGCAGAAGATGGAACACCAGAAGGTAACATTACCCATAGCTTCCCAGATCAGGCCAGGCCGCTGCCTCTATTATAGGTCTAGCCTAGGGTACTTGCTGGTGGGGTTGCTTATTTTAGGTTCGTTTCAATCAAGGTAAATCTGCTTCTTGGAAAACTCAACCGAATGAACTACACAACTTGAAGTTTCTGGCTCGCTGCTTGCCAGGCTCTGGGGTGCTGGGGCAGAGAGGAAAACAGAAGGTGGGGACAGCTGCTGATACATTGTGACAACTAACTTTGGAAAGTCTTTGCAGGCTTAAACAAAGTAACAAATGCCCTCCTGAAATGAAGCTAATGAAAATGATAAACACAATTTTTTTACAAAGAAAAAATGCCTATCACAAATAGAGTATGGTTGGTAGAGAGAAATGGAATGAAGGGGTTTTTTTTCTTTTTTACTTCATTTGGCTAATTAATATTACTAAGTAACTAGAGTTAGGACATTGTGACAATATATTTATATATATCATAACTGCTTCTTTCAGTGGAAACAGAGATTAAAATGAGACGACTTTCAAGTTGTTCAAATATTCCTATTTGCACTGTGAAATGTCAAATGTGAACTGTGGAATTGCAAAAGCCAGTTTCTAATCATTGCAATCCAGAAAATGGGTTGGTTTTCTAGAAATTCCTGGGGCTAATAAATATGTTTATTCAAATGCAAAAATCCTTTAAAGTTTGGCTACTTGAAGCTATCGGTTGACTTTGGTTAAAAGTTAATATATGTCTTTCACTAAGCATCAAGCTTCTATGCAAGTGTGTGTGTGTGTGTATGTGTGTGTGTGTGTTTAATTCAGGTTACAAAGCACAATGGTGGTGGGAAAATATTTATTTTGCTCTTTGCTGTGGCACTATCACTTCTCACTAGTTCTGTGTCTTCATTTCAATGTCAGAATCTTAGTTTGTGACCAAAGAATTCATAAATACTACAGTCATTATGGCCTCTGACTGAACTCCTTTCAAAGATGTGGCATCCTGGGACAAACAAAAAATGAGGACATGATTTATCTCAATGGAATTAGTCCTGCTTTGTTGTTTTTACAAAAAGGAAGATGAGAGGACCCCCATTTTCACTGTTACTGGCCAGTGAGACAACTACAGAAATCAAAGGCCGTTGAGTCCTACCTCCCTCAGGGAGACATAAAACCAATAAACACTAAACTGAAGAAAGACTCATTGTTGACACATGGCATGTGTCTTTGTCATAAACCTTGTTTGGAAGAACCCAAACTCTGGAAAGCGGCCAGGTCTCTGAACTCTGTATTACCATTCAGGTGTTCTTTTAACTTGCTCGGCATCACAGAAACCTTGGGGAGGAGATCAAGTATGCAGGGTGAGAATCCCAAGAAGTGGGAAGAAAGATACAAATGAAATAGATAGCGCAGCAAGCAGGCCAACAGTGCAAAAATTCCGTTAGAATAGTTCTCTCTTCAGGACCATCGCTGCAAGCCACGAGCTGGACCCAGTCCTCCAGACTCACAGATGCACTGGGCTTGGAAAGCAATGGACTTGTTTCATACACTCTAGGGGTGTGTGTGTGTGTGTGTGTGTGTGTGTGTGTGTGTGTGTGTGCATATGCTACAGACTCTAACTATTCACTGTGGCTATATTCTATAAAATATCTACAGATACTAAATAAGCAAACGTTGAAGTGTTTCTCCTAAAGAGAAATACCGGGTTACATCCCTGCTAGCCTCTGGTTGAGGCATCTTGTTAATCCATCCGTGTATAACCTTGTTTTACATTACTGTCTCTTAAAGACTCCTTACAGCACCTCTGAGACTATTGCCTGAATGAAGTTTGGCTAATCTAGCAAATGCATTTTTTCTCTCCATGGTACATCATAACTTTCTTGGGCTTTGGAATACCAGACAACACCAGCCCTGTGCTTAGAGCCATTTTAATGTTAAAATACTAAAGAGTATAGAAAAGTGCAGCCAAAAAATGTGGCATCAAATAAGTTGCGTGTGCTGTGTAAAGGTCATGTGTTGATCCGTGAGACCTAAAACAGCAAAGCAGTGTGTGTGCTTGTTGGACCAAAGTCGGGAGCACACATAACATGCAATTCAAATTTGCCAGCCCTCTGCACATGTATGTGAGTAACTGCAGGGACAATGGGATGCTGTTCGGGACAATTAGAAATAAACCTTCAAAATTAGATCTATCTAGAAGCAATGAGGTCAGCTGTGTCTTCTGTACAAATGAATGAATGTCATGGTAGGGACCAATAGTTAGCTTGGCTGGTTTGTTTGGTTTTGGGTTTTTTGTTGTTGTTGTTGTTTCTGTTTTTATTTTGGGGGAGGGGTGGTTCAAGACAGGGTTACTCTGTGTAACAGCCCTAGCTGTCCTGGAACTAGCTCCTGGAGAACAGGCTGACCTTGAACTCACAGAGATCCGCTTGCCTCTGCCTCTGGAGTGCTGGGATTAAAGGCCACCACTGCCTGGACAATATTTATTAGTGCATTTATTAGTATATATGCATAGCACAGGGTGCACAAATATAAATCCCAAGAGCTTCCCTCAAGGTATGCATACATGACTGGGGAGCCAAAGCACTGCTGGATGAAATAGTAACTAGGATGGTCAGGAGAAAGTCAGCCATGGCTGAGTTTATAGCACGTGTTATATGAAATGTGTGCATATTTTTATTGCTGTTATGTATGGCTATTTTATGAATTACTTTCAACACCAGCTTTTCAGGGAAAATTGAATTAAGAGAATAGCTGGGCACTGTTCAATTGCAAAAGATCATAGCCTCATGGGACTATTCGAGCCAAAATTAATTAAAGATTAGATTTTTCAGTCCCATTAGCCACATTTCAAGTGCTTAAAAGTGACATGTAGCTAATGGTTACTTATCTGACAGGGTGGATATAGAACATTTTTATAGTATTAAAACATCCCATTAAAGATTGCTTATTTAACTTCTGAGATTTATGTGTGCGAGAAACCAATCAATGAGGAAAATTCATAAATGCTAAAAAAATAATCTCATGGGAAACCATACAGACTGATTTAGATTTCTCTTAATAACTTGAAAAGGAGCCTCGTAACACTCTGCGCCATCTCCCTGTCTCTGTCTCTCTCTGTATCCCAGCAATGTGTGCTAGAACAGCCCCAAACCATCACAGCTTCCCCAAAGGTCCCCCAACAGCACTGGTATGTCTATGATAAATAAATAGCAGTCCTCTGACACCATGGGGCTCAGGGAGGGCTCATCACACATCAAAAATAAACTTAGTCTGTTTTTCTGAAGGCTTTTCCACTCGATCTTGGCCAAAAGCAAATCCGATTGCATCTGTTTCGGTTCATTCTCACGGAGCCAATAAAAGTTCAAATGTGCCAAATGTGAATGAACCCAGAAGACAGAACTGGCCAATTAGATTGATCATGACGTCATTCATCAGTCACTTACTATGCAAGCTTTGTAATATAAAACTCATTTCTCTAGCATTTACCAAGTTCCTTAAAAACTTCTAAACATTGTTCCGTGTACCGTGCGACCCTAAACACCCTGGGTAGCTTTACAACCTACTTCTACATGTGACAGTCATTTGTGAGGGCAAGGGCAGAGGACAAAGGGAGACCTTCTCCCCAAATCCCGTGCTCTCTGGGCCTTAAATGGACAGTTTGGCGGCAGGCTGCTCCATTTTCAGATCTCCATGTTAAAACAAAATGTTCCAAAGTATGCCGTTTTTCAGCCTGTCCTTCCATTCCCGGCTCTCTTCTCATTTCTAGCCTGGCTTGGGAGGCACTGGCCCTATCTAGAGAGATAGAGGGGAGCAGAAACAAGTGAGGGACTAGACACAGCAGTCTCCTGGATGCTCCCCGAACTCTGTCTTACACTTAGGAAACGGAAACACAGTTTCGTCCTTGAGCACAGTCTTGATAACTCCTCCAACTCTCCCATCCAACTGAACGATGCTCACACAAAAGGAAGAGCATGCCTGTTAACTTCTCATTTATCATCCCAGCACAGACACCAACCTGTACAGCCAATGGGCCTTCGAAAATGCATGGTAGTTACTAGCTTGATCTGAACACCGTGCCAAATTGTTCCCATACCCAGTAATTTTCTGTCCCATAAAGGCTACAGAGAAGATGCCACTTTGGCCCTGAAAGGAATAAGACATCAACCAAACGTGGCCTTTAGTAGTGCAACTTTGACCTAGAAAATGAATATCTGATCTTGTCTGAAATTTACCTGATTAAAAAAAAAAAAAAAAACTCCATTCTGAACTTCTAAATCCGAAGATTACTTGGGAGAGAGCACCGAGGAATTGATTATTCCTCCTGAAGGCTGGAAAAAGCTTTCCCCATCCTTCACTCACACCTTAGAAACTAATCTGACAGACTGAAGAGCTCTCTTTTTTCTCAATATCTTCTCATAGACTTTTTTTTTAAGACAGACACTTCCACTGTAGCTCGTCCCAGAATTCACAGCAGCTATTGCGCATCATCTACCTGAGTCTGGAATTAAAGGTCTGAGCTACCTCATCCTAGAAGTAAGACGGATTCTGGGTGGGGCTAAACTGAGCACATTGTTAGTAACACAGCCTGCACCACCTCTCATTGAGGGTGCAGCATTCGGCTTTCACAGATACGAGCTCCCCAGAAGAAGGGATAATAACAATTTTTAACAGCCTCGACCTTAACCTCCCTTCATATACAATTTTGACTGTTATTTTTAAAAACTGCTTTTGAGCATAACTAAACCCTGTCCTCACCGAGAACATGAAACGTGATTTTTCACTCCAAACCCTAAGACACTGAATAGGCAAGTTTGAAATCTGCTGGCAGAGGCTGGTTATCGGCTGACGGTAGGACTCCAAGGACAAATTCCATCTCTAGACATTACGGTCTATAAGAAATAACAGAATGCGTTGTTTCAGCAACGTGACTCGCGAGCTTCTCCTACAGCTCATATGGGAATCATGATTACTTATGATAAATAAGATGGATAGGGTTCATATTGGGTGACAATACTACCAATGGAAGAAAAGATGCTATCTTACCAAAATGTGTATGTGTGTTTGGACATTTGTGCATGCCTGTGCATGTGTGTGTGTGTTTTGTGTGTGTGTGTGTTGTGTGTATGTATGTGTGATATTTACCAGCTGGGCTAGACAAATAGCTTCTGGCTTCCTCTTCTCCTGGCCTTTGACTATTTGACATTGGGGTTGCACAGTGTGTTAAGGCTGCAGTAGCCATTCTAGGAAGTTAAGTAACGTGGGTGGTCACCGTCTTCTTCAATAGGCTCTAAAATCATGTTTCTCTGATGCCAGAACCTGTCGAACCTGAAGGCCCTTAGGGAATAACTTAGTGGTCCCTATGGGTGGTTTTCTTTTAAATTATGTGCTAAACAGTGTAGTTACAAGGCAGACGTACTGAGGGAGTTGGCATAAAGGTATGTAACATGGATTTCTCAAATTATTGGTACTCACTCTATTTACATAAAAACAATTTACCTAACACTTATAACCACAATATAGTTGCAAACAAAACATGAAACCAGATAAATAATAAGAAAAAAATATGCCTGGCAAGATGACTAACAGGTAGCACACAAATCCAATGACTTGAGTTCAGTCCCCAGAAATCACTTAAAGATGGGAGGAGAGAATGAACTTCACAAGGTTGTCTCTGACTTCTACAAGCCA